TACAAAAGTTCAATATTTCTAACAAACTTGTATTCTAAACTTTTGTTAAAATTCTACTTCAGATTAATAAACTTATCATTCAAACTTCTATAGTATTGTATAACTAGAAACTGAAAACCGTCATAAGTTTTAAGCACAGAACCTTAATATTTGAATATTGCATTAGCCCTTGAAAAATCTAATCATATTTGTCGCATCAAAATTGTAATTTCGGTCGTTAAAACGTGAGTCCTCCGCCTCGCTCTGGACAGTAATCATGTGCTAAGGTAATCTGGTCTCAATTCACAATTACTGAATCACAATTCTGATTTTATAACACGTGGTAGTTCAAATAGAAACAAACAACCAATAAACCCAATTTTTTTCACGCCTGTGAAGCGTGACTTACAGGTTTTATTAAAATATGTGATGATGCTGGAATTTTGACTTATTTTATTTTGAAAAATTAAAAAATTTTTGGGGGTATTTGTTCAGCTTTTTTTCATAGTTCGATCAGAAGTTAGGGTTAGCGTTATAATAAGAGTATAAGTGGATTTTAGTAGGGTTTATATTTTCAAATTACGACCCCAAATTCCAGCATCATCCCCGACAAAATATATTCAATCAAGACATCAAAGTCATGAAAATAAAAAAGCTTAAATTACGCCCAAGAAGAGTTGAACAAATTGGCTCTTGCACTGCCGAACTTGCCGCGGTTTTAACTTGTTGGTCTAATAGCTCAGTGGATTCTCCTGCTTGCAAAAAATCAGTGGAAGCTCTTACTGAATGTATGCGTAATTCTGTAAGTACAACTTGTTTTTTGAAGATATGGAAATTTTAACAGCTAACGGTGTATAAATTTACTCAAAAGCCAAAAAAATCAAATCATTCGAGTACTATTAATTATCATCTCGCAAGGCTAGGAAAGTACTTGTGATTTTGCCGGAACGAAAACCGGGGTACCGTATGCGATAGTCAACGGTACCAGTACTGATTTTATTGTATATACATAAAAATTATGGCCTTTTATAAATAAAGCTATTAATAGATTTATCGCAAAGTAACGTCCAATTTCTCAACGACCGACTTTCTTATTTTATCCTGAATTCCGTTGATTTCTTCGTTGGTAAAAGTTCTAACCAACAATATAGAAATTTAGTTTGATAAACATGAAAACATGGTAGACAAATAGCTTACCTATCCATAGACCTGTAATTGATTCTAAAACATAAACTTCTCTTTTTTGTTTTAGGATGCTTAAAATCATCGATATAAAATTAAAAAATACATTCAATTAACATACAAACCATTATAAAAATGTCAATAATTACCAATTTTACATCAACTAAGTTTCCCTTACTATTTCACAAAAGTTAGTTATGTTCCTTGTCATTATTCATCCAAAAACTTAGATCCTTAATACATGAAGGATATTTTGAGAATGGTTTAAATTTAATAATTTCATTAGAAGTAAATTGGTTGAGAAATCGCGGATCCTTCAACCAAAAGAGACGTATATCTGGTATATTAAATAACACCATTGCTATGCGTTCCAAACCCAATCCAAATGCCCAACCTATTTTATCCGGTTGCCCTTTTCACATAAGAGTTAATATATTAACAAGAAATTAATTTTATATTATTTAATAAAATTTTATAGTAATTCAATATTTTAATTACCAGTATTATTCAAAATTTCTTGATTTATAATACCACATCCGCACACTTCAAGCCATTTGCCTTGATAGAATATTTCCATTTTCCAACTAGGGCTAGTGAAAAGAAAATATGCATCGACCCACCTGACTTGCAAATTTTTTTCATCTATAAATAATTTTCTAATTCATTCAATGAATACTTCAGATGAAAAATTGTTGCGTTAGCAGCCTCAACAGGGTAACAAGGTTGTATGGGATTTGTAGAGCTAACAGCAGTTTTATCATCAGTATTTATATAATGATTTTGGTTTGTTTTTTTTTTGGTATTAAGGTGAGGCCTTACCCATATTTTTATTAATAGTTTTTAACATAGTAATTACAAAGAGTTGCTAACCTTTAAATATATAAGATATAAAAAGTAAAAATTACATGCAAAAATAAAAGCTCAAACTATTTTATCTGTGACCTAAACCTACTAGAGTAGTCAAAGACTTACCTAGATTGTAATAGATAAAATATAATTAGAAGATATACTGTATTTGATCTATAATAAATTAAAAATATTAATTTTGCTAATAGTCTGTCTGAATGGTGGACAAAAGTTATTTAAATGTAATTGATCAGATAAGTCACATTGGCATGAGTAAGTATATAGTCTATAGATATATTTTAAAGTTCTGTTGATAGTTTGTTGAGCTAAGATTAGTTATAAGACAATGTGATATTGTTTTGCTTTTTTCAATCTAAGAAGTTGATATAATATGGTTTTCATATTTGTTTATAGATAAGTTTATTAATCTGAAGTAGAATTTTAACAAAAGTTTAGAATACAAGTTTGTTAGAAATATTGAACTTTTGTA